GGCACAACTTGTCTTCCTTCACTTCGTGTTTTGGACCAGGTGACACTTAGAAAGAATTCTATTAATCTAGGTAATGGATGTCGGTAATTAAATAGACCATTAGAGCATAAAATTAATAATTTATAAATTACTTTAACAAAAATTATTTTTAAACTAAACTAGTATAAGTTACATAGTTAATAGATTATTTACTATATTTAGCCATTAGTCCCCACAAATCCTGCCCAAATGATGACAATGATGAAGTCCATAATGATAATAATACTAATTGATGATGACCATGATGATGATAATAATAGTAATTGATTACCATGACGATAACTCTCATGATAATGATCCACAATTCTGACAGAAAGGGGAACATGAGGTAATAATACGTAAATTGTCAACTGAAACAACAAAAAAAAAAAATGTACTTCAGACCAAAATGACCATACCACATGAATGAAGGAAAATCATTTTCAGTTTTCTATCAAAATTTTCTATCTCTGTTGCGTCAGGAGAAAGTACCAAGAAATTGCAACAAGCATGTAGAAGCTACTATACAACACCACCTACTACAATAGGTCGGTGCAATTTTGTCAAAAGTGACTATTAAATTCTATAAAGATGGCTAACTTCCAACTACATTTTACTTTTTATTTATTGTTTTTCGTTAGAATTTGCCTATAAATAGCCATGTTCTCACCATTGTACATATAAGTTTTAATCCAAAATTTCAGTTCATAATTCTCCTCTATTGAGTGAGTTTCTTGAGAGTGTATTCTCTCAATTTATCTCTGTATTTTAGGTCTTACTAACTTAAGTGGTGAATCTGACAATTGAATTCATCGTAGTGAGATTTTAAATTTTGCCAAAATCGGTATTTCGCTCCTACGTCGTCTGCATTACATTTAGGTCACAAAACGTAATACAAAAACAAAAACCGGAGATCAGCTTTTTTGAGTTACCGGCAAATTGTACAAGTAATATTGAGATTGTGATTCATGATTATTATGATAGTAGATTGCTAGGAACACTAATTCAGATGGGGAGACTGTATAATTCTGTGAAATGTAAAAAATATATCTACTCAGTTTTCATTTCGTCTTTCCATCGATTCACTTGATTCTGTATTATTATTGGTAGACATGATATCCGTATTTAGACTATGCCGTATCAGAGAGTTCACCTGCTTTCTTAATTTAGCATCGTCTGCTACGATAATTGCTAGCAACTTCCTCAATTCATCATCTATTCTCATAACTCGATCATTTCCATGCCTGTGTTTTGTTATCTTCCTTTTCCATTTAAGAATGTAACTAGGGTGGGCTACTTTAGTTAGCTCATTGTTGCTGTAAATATGATTTCATTGTCTGTCTACCATTGCAGGAGCGGCGCAGGCTTAATGGGAAACCACTTTGCATTCTTGTGGAGCCTCGCGAAATAGATAATTGTTGTTAAGGTACCCCATCTTCTTGCTTCAAAATTCACATGTAGGAAAGAATATCATACTAAA